CGGGCGGCGGGGAAATCCGCCAGGCATCTTACACGCGGCGCGCGGAACAGGAATGAGGGGGCTTGTGTCGGCGCGGCTCGCGCGCAGCCGGCAAAGTGAGGAGCGCGGGCGGTTGGCGGCGCCGCCCGGGAAAATGGCGGAGAAGGCCGGCGCAGCGGCCCCGCGGGGCCGCGCGAGGATCCGGGACCGCGGCCACCGCTGGGGACGGACGGGGCCGCCGCCGGGCGCGGCAGGGGCGGGGTGCGCGGGAGGCGAGGGCCCGGGCCGCGCTGGACGGGGTGTGAGAGGGCGTGAGTGGGCGTGAGCGCCCGGCCGGGGTGGGCGTGAAGGCCGCTGCGGCCCGAGTTCGGGCGTCGGCGCGGCCTCCGGGGCGCCGTCGGCGGGTGGGGGTCGCCGGATTTGTCCGGGTCGGCGCGTGCGGGAGCGGGAGCGGGTGCGGGGCCGCCGAGCCCCACGGACGCGGCCTCTGCAGCGGGGCGGGCTGGACGCTTCGCCTCCCCCCCAGGCGACCGCCGGAGTGGGATTCCCTCGGCCGCCCCTCGGTTGTGGGAGCGGAGTGGGCGGAGGTGGGGCGTTTTGTGCCGAGGCCGCGAGCGAGGCAGGCCGTGGACTTGGGTCAGGACGTCTTTTATCTGCAACGCGCAGCCGGTGCGAGGCCACGGCAGCTGTGGGCGTGTGGCCTGCTGCTCCCACCAGCAGCTGCTGTGGGCGCTGCGCTGCCTTCACCAGCAAAAATGCGGCGCCCCTTCCCCTCCCCCCGCCATCCCTCCGCGCCGAGCGGTTTCACCAAACCTCCCGTGACCTCTGCGGAAACCTGCCGCTGCAGGGCTCGTGTTCCTCCCCCGGGGCAGACAATAGGGGGTTTGTCTTTGAAGCCAACGCGGGGAATTGAACCCTGTGCGTCCCGGGTGCCTCTGCAAACAGCAGGTGGTTCCCGATCGGGGCGCTCCCTTCACAATGAGCGAGGTGTGCTTCTCCTCGCCGGGGAGGGGGCCGGAGATCTGATAGGAGGCGCGACTGTAAAGCCAGGAGACTCCTCCATAAAGCGTCCCGGCGACCAGGTGAGCCAGACGCCGGCTCTGCAGGACCCGGGCCTTCCTGCCCGCACTTGGTCCCGTCAGCTCTCTGGCCGAGAGGCTGGGAAGAGGGCGGTGCTGGAGTCAGACGCCGGCCTTTGTACTCGGTGCCTTTGGTCCCTCATCTGTAAAATGGGGCGCCAATCATAGTGGCCTCATAGGGTGGTGATGAGGACTCATCGAATCAAAAACTGTAAAACGCTTGGTGCTTGTTACATTGTAAGTGTTCGCAAAAGTTAGGATGTCATCACTGCCGAGATGTGGTTCCAGGTGCGTTTGCTGTGGTCTCGGAGCCTCACCCTCCTCCTTTTATGTTAACATCAAGTCAATGGCTCCCTTTTCTTACAAAGGCAAGATCGGGCCATATGTGGAGAAACAAGTGTGTTTTTTTTCCTTAATATATTTTTATTGATTTCAGAGAGGAAAGGAGAGGGAGGGAGAGAGAGAAACACCAATGATGAGAAAGAATCTTTGACCAGCTGCCTCCTGCACGCCCCACACTGGGGATCAAGCCTGCAACCCAGGCTTGTGCCCCGACTGGGAATCAAACCATGACCTCCTGGTTCATAGGGGGATGCTCAACCACTGAGCCACGCCTGGCAAGAAACAAGTCTTTGTGACGATACACAAGGAACAAGTCTCCTGTACTTAGATAACTTATATAGAACTACTTTTAAAATATTTTTAGAAAAAGAAAGCTTCCGATGAGCCACCTGAATACTCCAATTCTTACTGCCCTTGGGGTTTGGTAGGATTGTTGTCGACAGAAATGAGATTTAG